ACATCCGATATTGTCAGCTCTGCTTTAAAATCCTTAACGGCTCCCCAACATCTATGGCCTTGGTTTTTAAACTTTGGTAAGCATATGAGCCACTCAACTGGGGAGCCTAATTAAAATTCAAATTCCCAAGCCCCATTCTCAAGATTCTGGGTCAGCAGGTGTTTTCTTTATTCCACACTTTGAAAAATACTGACCAAAATTTGTTAGCTTAACTTACCAGGCATATCATGATCTGGCCCCTGCTTATTTTTCCATCCTTATCTCTGCCCATGCCTCTACTTGTGCTTTATGCTCTAGCTCAGGGGTCAGTAACCTATAGCCCTGCTGGCCCAGCCTGTTGCCAGTTTTGGTAAATAAAGTTTTATTAGAACACAGCCACACCCATTCATTAAGTTCCACCTATGGTTACTTTTGTGCTAAACGGGCACGGTTGAGTAATTGCAATAGAGATCAAAATGGCCGGCAAATAATTACTATATGGCTGTTTACTGAAAATTTGCCAATTCCTGCTCTAAGTTATAGCATAATACTTATTATCCAGTGCAGTATGCTTTAGTGCAAGATATTCCTTCTTTCCCATTTTCTGGGGGACTCCTATTCTTCCTCACAGATTCACTCCTACTGTGTGAACCCGTGTCTGACATGCCCAGACAGGCACCCATTCCTATTGCTCCAAAAGCACTTTGCCTCTATTGCCCTTATTTTTTACCTCACTATATTGTAATGACTGTTCTATATGTCTGCTTAGCCCTTTACTGAAATGTAAGCTCCCAAGAATAGTTATAAACTTTTTCACCTTTGTATCTGTCTAGCATAATGCATGTACATATTAGGTGTCCAACAAATATTTAGTGAATTAATGAATGAACTTTTCTGAAAACCTTAAAAGAGCTAATCATTCTGAAAAAGAATATGTAAACTTAGATTTCAACTGGTTTCTGTATTATTGACATTACTCCTTAGGGTTAAAACTATCTTTTGAGGTACCCTAGGTAAAATATGCATGTAACCTAGACAGGAAAGGAAGGCACATTAAATCTGGCAGAGATTTGTTTAGTAGAGGAGCTGGCTCTTCTGTTTTGGCCTTGTGGATAGCACTGATGAAGAGGAGAATAGGAAAAGCAGAAAATATCTGGATTTTGTGGCACTGCTCAAGGCGGGTAGCTCCAACTACAGCAAAGGATGGATAAAGGGTCAACAGGATTCAGGGTCCAAAGGACAGATCTGGGAATGTCAAAGACATTTTTTGGCCAAGTTAAAATTTTTGTGAAAACCAATGCTACTCAGAACAACTGAATGGAACAGAAGACCCTGTCTTCTTACCTAAAAGGAAGGTGTGAGAAACCTTATTTTCAGATAATTGTGTGTAATACAGGTAGACAAGAGGTCTATGAAGTCTATGAAGGAGAACAGCGTCCAAATTAGCATACTGTGGCCAGAGCCTGGCCCATTCTCTTGTCAGTTGCTCAACTGAATCTTGATGCCCTAAACTGTCAGGCAATACAGGATGGCAGTCTTTTACCAGCTTAGTCTGTGGCAGGAACGTATCTGGTCTAGGATATCTCAATTTACATCAGTCATTGATTCAATAAACATAAAAGTCAAAGATAAGATAAAAAAATAAGAACCTTCTGCCTATGATCAAAGCCTCTGAAAATAACACACTTTTATTTTCTTTGTAATTGAATGCAGCAGGTCAGGAAGAAGCTTTCATAAAAACAAGCACTTCTCCCTAGTGGGGGACATGCAGGTGGGCTCAGGAGACTACCTTTCTCACACAATCTGACAGTTAAATACACAGCTTAAGTTCATTTCATGCCCCATCCCATTGCCCCGTCCCATCTGGGGCACAGTTAGGAACAAAGGGTAGTGTAGGTATAAACATGGCTGCAAATGTTAGGAATAACACGCAATTAAGAATTACTAAAATGAGCATCTCAGGTACCAACTGTACTGTGCCAAGGACCAAAGAAGTCACTCCTGGGTAACAATAACATTTTTTGTGTGTGTTTACTATGTGTTAGACTCTGTACTCAATGCTTTATAATGCATTATCCCTAATCCTCAACAAAGCCTGTGAAAAAGTTATTGACATTTATCTGTTAAATAACAGATAAAATGGAAACTCAGAAAGGTTAATTAATCAGCCAAGATTTTTCTTTCCCAACTGGCCTAGAGGAGATCACTTTCCCATGCCCCCACTTTTGGATGCCCATCTACCTCTTGCTTTATTTTTGCCATGTGCCATTGTCTATATATAGTCTGGCTGGGTGGCTCAAAGGAGCACACTGATTAATAAAGCCCAATCACTATTAGTGAGTACTCTATGCTGTATCAGGCACATTGCTAGATGGTAGAAAGGCAAAGCTGCACTCCCATTCAAATCTGTCCTACTCTGACTCCAGAAAGCTAGGTGACATAATGTGGAGAGCTCCTGGCAAACTCATTCATCAAAACTGATGAAAACAACTCAAAAGGGGCACCTGGGTCAGCACTGATGAAAACAACTCAGAAGGGGCACCCAGCCAGTTAAGCATCTACCTTCGGCTCAGGTCATGATCTCCGGGCCCTGGGATCAAGCCCCACCCTGTGTCGGGCTCCCCATTCAGCAGGGAGTCTGCTTCTCCCTCTGACCCACCCTGCTCTCTGTCAAATAAATAAATAAAATCTTTAAAAAGATTATTTAAAAAACCCAACTCAGAATACAGAATCTTTATCATCATCACCTGTTTCCCTGACCTGCTCATTCAAATACTGTCTCTCTGTAACTGCTGCTCCTGCCCAGTTCATCCTCTTCCTGTTCCCCTGGCCTCGCTGTCAGCCACTTTGTCATCCTTTATGCTCTCCCGTCATACTTTATGCACAACCACCATAATTCCAAGCCCCAACTCTCACCTCCCCTTATACAGGAAAAAATGGAACCTGAGACCCCATCACCTATATATACATAATGTGAGGAGAAATGTGTTTTGTACGTATGTATGTCTATGCTAAGAGGACAATTTAATTCTGCAGGACTATAACAACTGGAGTACAGAAAAAGGCGGGGCTGGGAGGTGCCGAAGACTTAAGGGCTGCTACATACTTCCTGACTGCTGTAAGAGCAGTCTGATCTTGCTGTACATGGCATTTAAATATTACTCATCCACAACTACGACATGCATTCAAAGTGAAAGTAGTGTATTCACAGAGGCACTATCCATCCAGAGACATGTGGAATGGATTTTCTTTTCCATAATCATTAAAGATTTTAAGAAACCGCTGGTTTCTAAAAAAAAAAAAAAAAAATGAATTAAAAAGAATGAGAACTGAGTTCATTTTCCTTACCTGTGAACCCTACAGGAAGTAAGTTATGGATAGTCTACCCCCCAGATTTAACTTCACTCTTAGGGAAAACAATAAAATTTTATACCCTCCACTACAGTTTGCTAGTTTTAGAAATAACTCCTATGTAATTTTATAGGTAAGTAAAATAACTCCAAATCCTATGTATTTTTCTTGGACTTGAGACTATTGAAGACTTTAAGAAAGTTATTAAATGTCTCACAAGTCTGAAAACGAAAATAAAAATTTTATAGAATATACTGTGAGAGTCTCAAATTACGGAAATTAAAGAACAATGTTATTTTAGCAACCTTAAAGAACCATAACATTTTCTGCAAAAGATAATGGATACAGTATTCAGATTTACTTTCAGAATTAATACTGAACAATCAAGCTAGCAAGACTTCCATGGAAAAATTATTTTCTAATGTTTCTGGAAAACTTTCGGAACGCCCCCTTTCTGTCTTGGAAACACCACTTCCAGTTAGGGTTTGCTACTTCACAAGCAAACTGTTTCTCCAGGTGAGTCTCAATTCCAAAGTACTGCGTTGGACTTTCCCCTCCATCTATCACTTTGCTCAGAGCCTTCTGTAAGAACAGGAAGAGGAGATAATGTAGAATAAAGCAAGCAGTGCAGAGAACCTAGAAATTTTTTCATTCTAAGGATGTGTGAGACAAAAACGTGAAAGCAGCAAAGTATTACTGGTTTGGTGGAGGGGGAAAGGGCACCCAAACAAAGTAAGATCCTAGCTCGAAGTATGCCAGAGACTGTGGAAAGTAAGACCTCTGAAAGGCAAGAGAAGGAGTGATTTCTACTTCAAAAATTGGCAAAGTCAAGAAGTCTGACTCCTTAAAAAAAAAAAGTTCAATTTCCTAAACATTCTAAAACATCAATAAGCTAACCATCCCTATCTTCCATGAACTAAAACTAGACAACACTAAGGTGGATAGACATAAAGACAGAAATAGGTTATATGTAACCTATATGAATTAGCCAATAATGAACAATGCCTGTTAGAATCATAGGAATAAGTGATTTGGATGGCAAAAGGGGGATGGTGGTAGGATGTTAAGATAGATTAACAAGAAGGAATTCACTACTTTTCTTAGAGAAGGCTTTCTAGAGGAGGTTAGATTATGGACGAATAGCAACAGGAGCTTAGCAGAGTGTTCCAACCAACCACAGGAAAATAGCTCAGAGGGGGGAGTGAACTGATGATATGAATGGGGCATTGAGTAAGGGAGCCTGAGAGAATAAAGGGGAACCTTCAAGGGGAATAGGGCTGGTTCAGGGTGCCCTAATTAAGGTCTCCAAACTGGAGAAAGTCTGGGAGGGGGGCAGGGAAGGCAAAAAGAAAAAGCACGGTACTTTCTTCACTTATTTCGCTAGGCAAGTCAAGGACTAGGGTTTGCACTACCTGGAAAAGCTGACAAACAGGCTTGCCCTGGGACTGAAAAATTTCCAGAGAGGGCCCTTTCTGGAAAGACGCAGCCCCCCGATCCCTGAATTCCTGGTTGAGTACCATGGGGTAATAACTGGAGGCGCAAGGATGTCTAAGGCAGGTGTTTCCTGGGTGTTGGCGTGGCTACCAGGCTGAGGTTCAGCGGCGGGTCTAGCACTTAGCGACAAGCAGGCGGCGGCGGCGGCAGCTGCGCGTACAAACCACAGGACTTACCTTACTGTCATCCATCTCGGCGGACAGGCCGGCCTGGCCAGGCGCTCCCTCCCCCTGCCCTCCCCCGGCTCAGCCGGCCTGGCCCGGCCCGGCCCCCTCCCCGGGGGAAGAAGGGGATATGGTTCTGACTGTCTCCTCCTCTCGCCTAACAGTTCGCTTCCCTGATGCCACAGTCACGGGGACGAGGGAACAGTTCAGGAATGACAGAGCGGACCCTGGAGGCGGCCCAAAACGCCTCCTTTCGCCGCCGCCGCCTCCTCCTCCCCCTCCATGACAGTCTCGGGGTGTGTTTACAGACGCCCTGGAGAGCGGCCCGGACGGGAGGGTGGGCGGGAGCACTGCTCGCGGAATGGCCTCTTCGGTTGCCGTAGTCGGCAGCATTCTGGGGATTGTAGTTTTCCCTAACGCACTCTCTGCAGGGCTGACTAGGAAGAAAACTACAATGTCCACATACCCTCAGCCAGGCGTCGGTTTTCCTCCTGCCGGCGAGCGCTGCGGGGGAGGAGCCAGCCAGAAGCCCAGACTACGTTTCCAAAAGTGCGCTGCCTTGGACTTCCAGCGCTGTGGGCACCGGTGGGGCGAGTTTGGGGCCCCGCAGAAGCCCGCCCCAAGGAGGAGCCCTGGGGGCAGGCCCTCCTCCGGGACACCGAGGAAACACTGAAGGTTCTTTATTAAAATAAAAAAAAAAAAAAAGAAAACTAAGAATGTACAGTGCTGCAGCTGTTTTGAGAAACAATTGGGCCGTTCTCACAATATTAGTTACCATATAGCCAACAATTCCAAAGAAATGAAAACACTCCTTCACATGAAAACTTGTACAGCGATGTTCTATCCTAGAAGCATTATTCATAATAGTCAAAACGTGGAAACAACCCAAATGTCCATCAGTGGATGAATGGATCAGATAAACGTGGTACGTATGTGCAGAGGAATGTTATTAGACCATATAAAGGAATGAAGTACTGATACATGCTACAGTGTGGGTGACATTGAAACATGCAAAATGAAGAGCCTCATTTTGTAGATTCCATTTATAATGGAAGATCCAGAATAGGTAATTGAAAGAAACAAAAAGCAAGTGGTTGACAAGGGCTAGGATTGGGAACAGTAGGGAGGCAGGTATGGGGAGGGATTGTTCATGGGCACTGGTTTTCTTTTTTGAGGTACTGAAAATGTTCAAAAATTAAGGGCTCCTGGCTAGCTTAGTGGGTAGAGTATGGGACTCTTGATCTCGAGTTATGAGTTAAAGATATATTTGCAGCCAAATACAGTGAATATTAGCTAAAAATTTTAAAAGAAATAGTGATCCTCAGGGCACCTGGGTGGCTCAGGTGGTTAAGCATCTGCCTTTGGACTGGGTCATGGTCCCAGAGTCCTGGGATCAAGTCCCACTTCGGGCTCCCCACTCAGCAGGGAATCTACTCCCTCTACCCTTCCTCCTGCTCGTAATCTCTCTCTCTCTACCTCTGTCTCTCTCTGGTAAATAAATTTAAAAAAAAAAAAAATGAAAAAAAGTGAATTTTACAATATGTGACTTATACCAATAAAACCATTAAAAAATAACTAAGATGGCCTTTGCATACCGCTGATTTAATAAAGTCAGTGGTCTTTTGTTGTTTCAGCCTAAATTAAACCATAGCATTTGATAAAGATCTATTAATGTTCCTTAATGTTATTCTGGAGAACTCTTTGACCCAGTTCTTTTCAAAGACTCCTAAAACCCTTCCAAAATTCAATTGAGGTAGAGTTGCCAGATTTAGTGATAAATATACAGAACACTCACAGTTGGTTTTAGGATAAACAAGTAACTTGTTAGTATAAGTATGTCCCATACAATATTTAAGACACACTTTTACTAAAAAGAAAGCATTTGTTTATCTGAAAATCAAATTTAACTGGGTACCTTCTATTTTATCTTTTAACTCCAAATTGAGGAAGGGTAATAGAGGCATACCTTGTTTTACTGTACTTCACTTTATTGTGCTTTTTACAAATGGAAGGTTTGTGGCAACCCTGCCTTGAGCAAGTCTATTAACGCCATTTTCCCAACATCATTTTCTCCTTTGTGTCTCTGTGTCACATTTTAGTAATTCTCACAATATTTTTTTTTTTTTAAGATTTATTTGAGAGAGAAAGAGAGCAGGGAGGAGGGGCAGAGGGAGAAGGAGAGGGAGAGAAGCAGGAACCCCCCCCCATGACCCTGGGATCATAACCTGAGCCGAAACTAAGAGGCAGTTGCTTAAGTGACTGAGCCACTGAGGTGCCCCAATTCTCACAATATTTCAAACTTTTTCATTATTATTACGTTTGGTGCAGTGATCTGTGATTAGTGATTATGACTTGCTGAAAACTCAGATGATGGTTAGCATTTTTTAGCAATAAAGATTTTTTCATTAAGGTATGTACACTTTTTTTTTAAAGAAATAATGCTATTGCACACTTAACAGACTGCAGTATAGTGTAAACCTAACTTTTACATGCACTTGGAAACCAAAAACTTCATTTGACTTGCTTTATTGTAGTGGCCTGAGAACTGAACCCACAATATCTCTGAGGCATGCCTGTAACAGGAAAGTTGAGTCATCTCTGACTGATCTATATAATGCTTCAGAGGAACTAAAGCAGGTCACTTCCTCCAAGTAAAAGCCACGTAGCCAGGCCTTGCAGCTGGTAATGGGTCTGGCATGCTGGGGTTTCAGCAGTTGGGCCCACCCAGGGGTGCACCTGTAACCCCCAAACTGCATTCATGGAGGTCTCAGAGACACCTAGCCACATCCTTTCTGATGATCAGGGGAGCAAAAGTGTGTGCTTCTGGGAGGAGCTCTCTTTCTCCGCCTCCCCTAATGCCCCTTTAGTTCTACACCTCCAGGGGCTGCTTTCCACCCCTTTCTAGCTTTCTTCTCTTGTGCCCAGCCTGGCCTCAGTCCTGCTTCCCTGGCTATGCCCTGGTCGCTAAGTCCTCTTCTTTGAGGTACAACTGCTTTCCCCCTGGGTTAATCCTCTACCTATCTCCCTTGCTGCATCCCAGCCGACAAAAGTGCCCCGAGTCCTCTGCAATGGCACTTACCCATCTCGTCCTTCCACAGAGGCTGTGTGTGAGCTGTTTGCAGACTCAATCACCAGCCCCTCAGGAAGGAGAACTAAGACCTTTTGAACTATGAAGTGGAAATCTAAAAACATGCAGGAAAGTAGGTACACCGGTTTCAGGAGAGTGGTTTTGTCAAGGGAGGTTGGGGGCAGGCTTGGGGTGAGGAGTGGTTAGTTGTATATTTAACTTTTAAAGATATGAAGCAAATATGTTAACTCTGGAAGTGGAGTTGTATTGTCTTTGTATTTCTGTACATTTGAAATATTACACAATTAAAATAGAAATTTATTTTTTAATTTTTTAAAAAGATTTTATTTGAGAGAGAGAGAGCACAGAGAGTGAGAGCAAGAGTGAGAGAGAGGCGCAGAGACAGAGAGAGAGCACGAGCAGGGGGAGGGGCAGAGAGAGAAGCCGACTCCCCACTGAGCTGGATCCCAGGATGCGAGGATCCTGACCTGAGCCAAGGCAGACTGAGCCACCCAGGCACCCCTTAAAATAGAAATTTAAATATAAGAATTATAAACATGCTCACTTTAAAAACTGGAACTACTTTAAATATTTTTTAGGTTTAATTTATAAAAATAAACCTTGGGGTGCCTGGGTGGCTCAGTTGGTTAAGCGACTGCCTTCGGCTCAGGTCATGATCCTGGAGTCCCGGGATCGAGTCCAGCATTGGGCTCCCTGCTCAGCAGGGAGTCTCCTTCTCCCTCTGACCTTCCCCCCTCTCCTGTACTCTCTCTCTCTCATTGTCTCTCTCAAAGAAATAAATAAAATCTTAAAAAAAGAGTTGCTTTATAAAAAAAAATAATAAACCTTAATCACATCATAAAATAGTACTTTGTAAAGGACAGAAAATCTTATGAAGAAGTATTGTGTAGTCATATGTTAAACATTTGCTGAGAAGTACCCAGAATTGGTAAAAAAAGAGGTGAGGAGGAACAAGAGAATTAGTTTCTATAAGTATAAATCCTCAAGGACTTTATAATCCAAGAAGAAGAAATTCACACATACAGGAGACTGAACAATCACTAAACAAGGCATCTGGTGAAAACGATATAGACTGAACTTAATACCCATGTGCTAGATTGTTCAGAGTGGGTAGCGAGCGCCAAGCATCAGACTGATCCCTGGAAAGGTAAAGTGAACACAGCAAATGTACTTTTTTATTTCTAAAGGAGTGGGCGGAAGTTTAGAAGAAGAATAGTTTCTCAGGGTGCTGAGCCTGCTTTATATTCATGATCTTCAATCTTTTCTTCTCAAAAGGAAACTCCTAGGCATGCAAGTCCTTCTAAAAATGCATGTAATTTTCTCCTCCCTTCCCTCTCCACTTCTCCCTCCCCAACACACACACAAACACGTTTCATAGACTCCCAGACACCCCACATAGAGGCACTGTTGGCCTAGGATGCATCAAGCCTCTGTTCCTGCCGAGGAGTTTCTTGTAGTGAATTCCTAAGCAGCATGGCACACACCCACTCCTACTAGCTCTGCATGCCTTCCATGCCCTCATCTCTCTCTCCTGTTCCCCTTACCACTAGGGCTGAAAGAGCACAGGTGTCTAAACAGAGCCAAGATGATCATGTTACTCCCTGGGCCACATGGGTCCGCTTGGCACATATCCCCTGGGGAACATCGGAGAGAAAGGAAGCTCATTAAAATAACTTGTTAGGCTCCAGCTGGCTTCCCACTATGTTTGACACACGAGTCTAAGAATTTAAAAATTATCCAGCCCTTTCCAAACTTTCCTTGGAAATGAAAATCATTTCCCTTAGTCCTGGCATGGAGATTTTGGTTAGACCCATCTCTGAACTCGAGATAGCCATAATTAAAAACAAAGCCTACCAAGAAAGAAAACAAAGATGGCCATGGGGAAATCTACCGTGGTAACTTCTGACCCACCCTAACACACACCATACGTTTGGGGAAGAAGGTATCCCAGAGTCAGCCCAGGAGTGACCCATCGTGACTTCTCTGTCCCTGCCTTGTCTTTTCAGAGAGTTGATCATCTGTGGTCAAGTGATAAAGATTTTAAAATGCAGCATGGTCGTGCAGTGAATTTGTGGGTAGTCTAAATTATGACACACAGGCTGAGAGAGGACAGGAGGATAGCTATTC